GAAAAGGACATCTTTTTTTGGTGCCAGTTCTAGAAGGTGTTGTAGGTCTTCATAGAACTGGTCAACTTCAGCTTCTTCAGCATCAGTGGTTGGGGCATAGACTTGGATGACTGTGATTTTGAATGGTTTGCCTTGGATTCGCACTGAGATCATTCTGTCTTTTTTGAGGTTGTACCCCATTATTGCCTTTTCCACTCTCTTATTACTATGAGTGCTACTCCATTTCTTCTAAGGGATTCTTGCCCACAGTAGTAGATATAATGATCACCTGAATTAAATTCACCCATTCCCGTCCATTTTAATTCACTGATTCCCAAGATGTTGATCCATGGGGTTTTCTTGGCAAGGATACTGGAGTGGGTTGCCATTTCCTTCTCCAGTGGACCACATTTTGTCAGAATTCTGTCATGATCTGTCCATCTTAGGTGGCCCTGCACGGCATAGCTCATGGCTTCACTGAATTATGCAAGCCCCTTCGCCACAAGGCAGTGATCCATGAAGGGGACATAATCACTAGAGGGCAACAAAAGGCTTTCAATTCCTCTCTGCTGCCATCTAGTAGTTGTGCAGATTTTTCCATCCCAAATATGGAAATGGCCTTAAACTAAGTCCATTTTATACTCAGCTGGAGGAATCCCTATGATCAGCAGATATCAAGGCAGCAGAATTACCGCCCCAGAAGATAAATTCCAAGGAGATCACCATATATTCCTTAGTTAAAATTTATCCAACTTTAATGTGATTTCTTCTTATTATGTTCTTGCTGCAGCAACTTTGTGTGTCAGGCTGGGCTAAGACAGAGCAACTGCCCCAAAGTCACCCAAAGACCTTCAGTGGCTAAGGATGGATTTGAACCTGAGTCTGCCTAGTGCCAGCCCAACACCCAATCACTACACAGACATGCCTCATATTCCTTACCTCTGAAATGGAGATGTATTGCAACTTTTTCAAAGCACTCTGATTTTATTTTAGTAGTTTTAGTTATTTAGTTATTGAAAGTTTGATTTCCCATTTGGAACAAGCAAGCATATAACCCAGCAATCCATGGGGCACCTGACTGATTTCAATGATATTTTCAAACCTACGGAGGGTTGAACTTGTTTAATAACAATATCAGTCACAGGATAAGACAAAAACTGTCCGAAATTCCATATCCATTGCTGGGCCAAGTCAATATTTTAAAAGTGCCCCCAAATGTTTGTGTGCTTTCTCAGTGTTACACTCTCTACTGCAGTGTTTCTCAGCCTTGGCAGTTTGAAGATGTATGGACTTCAACTCTCAGAATTCCCCACACAGCATGCAATTCTGGGAACTGAAGTCCACACATCTTCAAACTGCCAAGGCTGAGAAACACTGCTCTACTGACACCAACTTTGGGGTTGCCTGTCTTACCCAATTCCACAGCAGACAGCCTTGTCAAAACACTAGCACAAAATCCCTCTGAGTAACAAGAATGTCTGAAATCCATAGCATTCCACAATTTGCTCTGTAATGCTCAGAACATTCACTAATGCAATGAAGACAGAGAGACAGAGAAAGACCAAGAGAGAATTCATCGTATTGTCGAAGGCTTTCACGGCCAGAATATGATGGCTGGTGTGGGTCTTCCGGGCTGTGTGGCCGTGTTCTGGAAGTTTTGTTTCCTAACGTTTCACCAGCATCTGTGACCGGCATCTGCAGAGAGCAGGAGCACAGACAGGGGCAGTTCTCTCTGTGCCCAGGACAGCATCTGTGACCGGCATCTTCAGAGAGCAGGAGCACAGACAGGGGCAGTTCTCTCTGTGCCCAGGACAGCATCTGTGACCGGCATCTTCAGAGAGCAGGAGCACAGACAGGAGCAGTTCTCTCTGTGAACACGGCCACACAGCCCGGAAGACCCACACCAGCCAGAGAATTCATCATTTGTCAACTGATATCACAAAATCCATTGATGCAGAATCGAGAAAACCCTTCCTTTAACATTAGCAGCAAGCGGGGGGAGAGGGAGGAATTGCTTTGCTGCTGAAGTGACCCATTCCCCTGGTTTGCTCACTGAACATTTTCAGCCCCCTTAAGCTGCCTATCATGTTAAGCCATAAAATGGTTTGCTTGGCTGCAGCTTAGTTTGCTGCATGAACCTGGAGAACCTGCTTCATTGTGAACAAGCTTTGTTTGCACTAATACACAAAGCTAGTCTTCCTGGTAACAAGGGTAGATCAACAAACTAGGAGTGGTTTGTTTAACGTATTATCCAAATACTTGAAATAAGCAAGGATCCGGGTTTGTTGCATCTAAACAAGCTGGATTAGTCAGCCAGGAATGCACCACGGTTTAAAATCTTCACAATAAGCCAGAATCCTCCAGCATCCTGCCTTACTGTTGCTTACAGTTTGCAGTTTCTGCTTACCCACACGGTCAGAGAAATTTGGAGGGTAATTGAAAAATGAATTGCAAGTACTCACACTAATATCAGAATATAGAGATTGTCCATAGAGGTTCTTATATTCCTCTCGAATATCCAGAAGATCGATTTCTGACCTGGATACTAGAATTCTACTCAATGTGAATTCATCAGTACCAGGTCCCTATAAACAAGGGAAAAAACCCCATTAAATATGAGCTTTTAGCTGAGATTTATAAATTCTGCTTTCAAAAAGGCAGCATGTAAACACACACATTTTTACACCACAGAGCAAAAACAGCTTTAAAGATCCAAAATGCATGCAGATTATTTTTAAAACCCCAAAAGCTATGGCATTTAACCAGTATTTTAAAACTGGGGATCCCAAACAGGCAATTAAGAAAAGTGAGCTTTATCTAAGTATTTATGCTCGGTTTTCTCTATGACGATCTAAGGCTGCCTTCCATATGTGCTGGACTACAACTTCCAGAATGTCCAACCAGCAGGTCTGCTGGTGGGGAGTTATGATCCCACCATCTGGAGGGAGCAGGCTGGGGCGAGGCTGGGCTAAAGGTTAGGGCTGAACACTCACGTCCTTTGGATGTGTCTCTTAAAATCCTCTCGTATGCAGGGAAATTGGGGCTCTGCCATTTATCCTGCTTTGGCCCTCATCTTGTTACTTTCCTCCTCCATCTCAAGGGGCACATCTAGAGACTTCATTGCAGTAAGCAAAGGAGGGAGATAAACCACTCATTTAGGGAACTGAAAGGGCACCCAGGGTCTTTCCCCACGACACTGGGAGATTTAAAAAAGGATGCATGTCCTCGATCAGAGAAGGAGACCCAGCACAGACAACACCAGTGGTGAATTGGGCCTTTTCAACTCAGAGGTGACTGTTCCAGTCCCTCATGCCCCAACCCTCAGAATAGAAAACACCTACAGATAGTCCTCATTTAGCAACCACAATTGGGACCAGCAACTTGGTAGTTAAGCAAACCAATTGCTACATGAAACTGCAACTGTTCTTACAATCTTACTTCAGCTTTCCTTTGCTTTATCAGCAAAGGTCATAAATGTGAGGATGGCTGCAAAGTTGCTTTTTCATTACCGTCGTAACTGTGAAAGGTAGCTGTATGAAGCAGTTGCTAAACGAAGACTACCTGTATTAACATATACAAGAAATCTCCTGATCGTGGCTCTTTTTCTGCGCTGTGCTGACCCTGGTGACTGAATTAACTCATTTTCTGGATTTGCACAATCCAATGAATCAAGTGATCAAAAACCTAACCATGATTTAACATTGACCAAGTTTAGCATGTTGTGCAAATGCATTGACTGTTGACCAGGTTAAATATGTGGCATGATCTCAGTCCCAGAGTCATTCCCCTGGTCCATCCATTCTAATTCTCATCATTCTTATTACAGGTAGTCCTTGACTTACAACCGCAATTGGGACCAGAACTTCCATCGCCAAGTAATGCAGCTGTTAAGTGAGTCGTGCCCAATTTTACAACTTTTTTTACTCTGTCATTAAGCAAATCACTGTGGTCATTAAGTGAACCACATGGTCATTAAGCAAATCTGGCTTCCCCCACTGACTTTGCTTGTCAGAAGTCCCCTGGGAAGGTCGCAAATGGCGATCACGTGTCCCCGGGATGCTGCAATCAACATAAATACATGCTGGTTGCCAAGTGCCTGAGTTGTGATCACATGACCATGGGGATGCTGTGACAGTTGTAAGTGCAAGGACTGGCCATAAGTCACTTTTTTCAGCACTGTCATAACTTTGAACAGTCGTTAAATGAATAGTCATAAGTCAAGGACTACCTGTACTGTCCTCTTACACCATTTCAGGATGGACAGCCACAAGAAACGGGGGTAAATAATGTCATCCACATAATGATCCTCTGCAAATGACGCAAAATACACACTTTGCATTATTTGTGCAACAACACCATGTGTGTGACATTATCACGGATTCTACTAAATGCTGAAGCATTCAAGCAGGCTTTTCCAGGAATCCTGCGCTTTGCTTGGCCTTGCACACCAAGCCTGATCTCGTGCCTACAGAAACCTGAGAAAGTGTTTCCGGAGATACGGGCATCAGATTCTCCAGTCAAAACAACAACCCTCTGTGTTTACATGGTGACTTATCTCAAGGTGATCATCAGCTGAATCAAGCAGAAGGCTGTAGTTTGCTGCGAGAACAACCAATCTGCGGGTTTCAACCTTCCATCACCCTTACCTAGAGAGAACCCTGTTTGAAATAGTAAAGAACTGCCAGCTGGCAATGCAGGCACCATTCAGCTACGTGGTTGGTGGTCCTTGATGACTTGACTTTGGGCAAGGAAAACTCATACATTCTCACCTTCATGCATTTGTTCAGCTTTTCAGCAAAGAAGGCAGGGGCGTTATTTGCACACTTCACTATGAAAAGAGAGAAGAAGAAAAAGAGTGGAATACAGACCTTGTATACTGTCTGGTTACACTGTGAGCAAGTTTGGAATGCAAAGCAGAAAATATCCCGGTGAATTATTTAAGAGTTTGCAAATCATCCTGCAAATTAGATGCATGAACAAGAGGTGGGAAGTACATCTAACAATGAAATCCATACATAAATAAAATATTAACCTGCGGGTTGGCACTTGATTACAATCGTTAGCACGGTTTCCTTATTACAACCCTCTTGTGCATATTTTTGTAATTTACATCCGCAGAGTTGTTTGGGCAGATTTCATCAGATAAAGAGCGAAAGCACGCTATCAAAATGTAACTGACCTTCCCTTTTTGTGCAAATTGGAAATTATATTTTGGGGTGGGAGAGTAAAGATGTACCTTTGCCTTTGGGTGCGCCATATGTTTTAAGATTAAGTCTGCCCTCTGCCTATTTAAAAATGCTAAAAATGCTCAGACTAAGAGCTAGTAAGGAGAAAATGCTTGTGAACAGACCTCAGCCGGAGGGTTAGGAATCTATTTTGTGTTATGAAGTTCCCACTTTTGGTGGCAAACCAAAGGGCTTTGCAGGGATAGCGAAAGTGGTACTCACTTCTTCCATCATATTTGTATACAGCCACGGATGCCTAACCATACCAAAACCCAAGACTATTTATGTATTTATTTGTTTATTTATTAAATTTGTATGCCACCCATCTCCCCCGGAATGTGACTTTAAAAGGATTCTAAACTCAAAATGTCCTAATGAATACAGGTAGTCCCTGGGTTGAGAACGCCCGGTTTACGGATGACCCATAGTTAAAAACAGAACCTATAGTAGCAAAATTCGAGTTAAACACACAATGATTCGAGTTAAATATACAGTGGTTCAAGTTCATTACACCATACTACTTACACAGTGTTATACAATAATACTGTTCCGGCTTCCATACAAATTCGACTTAAGGACAGACCTTGGGAACGGAACTCGTTCTTAAACTGGGGACTACCTGTAAAGTGCACCATTTCCTATGCTTCTGCCTTTGTTTAAAAGCCAATTAAGAAAACCAACTTGCTCTGTTAAGCAGAAATCAAAGCCCAATGAAATGCTGAAGGCACGAAGGATGGCAATTGATAAGGCACCCCATTCTATTTCACACCCACATCCCTTCTACCGGCCAGGTGCAGCTTAGTGTAGTGTGAAGAGCAACATCCCTAACTGGGGGGCAGGCAAGAGAAAGGAGCTGGAACCCCCAACTGCCACGGCTGGGGGAGAATATCTATGAACAGCTTCCAAAGAAACATCCCACTGCAATCTGGGTTTACAGAAGGGTTCGTTCTGGTTTGCAACATGGAAGCAGAAAGTGGGTTATCTGGAGGACTGCCTCTTCTAGTTGTTTCTACTCATCCTACCAGGTCTGACAAGAGGGGCACATTCTGGGTCCCCTCAATTAAAGAATGCCATTTAACAGGACCTGCCCTCTGGAACACCAAACCCCCCAAGATCAGATTGGCCCTGACTCTGTTGGGCTTGTGCAAGACACTGAAGACCCAGACGTATGGGGGTTGGGAGGTTAGATGGCCTACGGGATGAGATTTATTGTACTGTTGAATATTTATTTAGTTTGTTCTTGACCACCATTGTAGGCTTTTTACGTTTCACTGATACCATTTTTGGTGTTGTTTTTAAAGTGTTGTAAGCTGGCCAGAGTCACATCTGGGCAACTCTCATCACTGCCTCACCAGCATGGCCAAATCTTGAGAACTCTTCCACAGGAGTCAAAAACGGGAATTGGCATTAATTTTGAAGGAACAGCAAATTAAAGATGGGAGGCATAACTGGTGTTCCTTGGAATGCTTTTCATGCATAAAACAGGGAGGTGTCTTTTTCCCTTGTTTTTTCATTAGCCAATCACAAATACCCTGTGCAGATTTCCTTGAAAAAGTACAGGGCGGTGTATATGGAAAAGGATCAATCCGCCGTGAGATTTAGAAGGTATAAATACGCACACACTTGCCAGACCGCCTCACGCTTCTCTTACCGATGGCCAACAGCAGTTCTGCAAAATCCCCCGACGTCTCGTTACGTACGCTGTCCTCCATTCGCTTCCCGCTAAGATTTTTGTACTCCTCAAACGCTTAAGAAATGACAGAGGAGAACAATGCCAGCAGCGTAAGCTGCACATACTTTAAGATCCCTGAACAAAAGTCTGAGGCATTTGTATTTCTGCCTCCACAAGTTCTCACTCTTTTACAATATATATCCTATAACAGCCTGAAATCCTATTTTCCATGCTCTTTTTTTTTTTTTTTTTTAAGTTTCTAATCTTTAGGACTGCAAGATAGAAAACATGTCTAGGAAAAAAAGTGGTTGCATTCGAATGGCTTCTTTAATTTTTTGAGGAATAGATTTCCCTCCCACAGAAACACACACACACACTTTTCCAGCTTGGAAATTTTAAAAATCCATCACTTCAGGTACAGTCAGCCCTTTGAGAAAGACCAGACCTGAACACCAAATTTATGGATACTAAAACTACTTTTATTATAGCGATATAGTAACAGAATCTGGCAAATCTGAATGTGCCTCCCCCCTCCCTGCCTTTATCCTAAAGAGAACTAGGGAGGGTCCAGCCTGAGACGCTTTCTCAAATTACATTCCTGCTTTGGACTCAGATTTCTCTTATCTGACCATTGCAGGTCCTCCTCCTCCTCCAGGTTTTTCTCACAATCCATTACAGGTACTAGGGCTGAGCTCTCACCTCTATCAATGTATCTAAACTGCAAGAAAAGCTAAATATGCCTAAATCTTATTTGAATGCAGAAGATAAATCAGTTTCTTACTGAGTCTGAGTTGAGAAAAGCTGCTGGAGGACAGAATATCGATAAATTGGGTTTCATCCGTTCCCCACCTCTTTTCACCAGCATCGTACAGGATCTAGAAAACAGGATTGAAGAGCATAAAAACTGTTGCTCTTTTGCCAGGCCTCTGTAACATTTCAAATAAGGTACACTGGGCAATTATCATGCCAATTATTTATACAAGGCTTTCGGAGATGGTCAGATTAAATCCTGCTGCTAACGCTACTCATTTGGCAGACAATTCAACTCATTTTAGAAAAACTGTCAGAAACGGCAAGCGTCAATTTCACTTCCATTCCAGTTCAGACCAGATCCTTCAAGATTTAGAGGCATAACTCGGCAAACTTCACCCAAAGTTTAAAAGCCTAAATGAGTAACATTTTGATGGGGTTGTCCATGATTAAAAAAAAAAAAATCAGTGAAGGTGATTCTAATCCTGGGGAAAAAAAAACACCAGTCATTGATGGAAACATTTTATATAGGGCTATATCTACTACTAGGTGATTATACTTTTCACATGCAAAAGTTAATACTGCTGTATGCCCAGAATTATGAATTTTATTTTACATTTCTAAGAGCAAACTCTTAGCCCTTAAGGCTGATCTCAGATAGTTATCTGCACGGTTGTTTGTCCTTCACCTAACTAACCGAAACAAACTCAAAAATAAGCAAATAAATCTCAGCAACATAGACAGATGGTCAACCAGGCTTTTCTGGCTACAGAACATTGAGTTTTGCTTTTGACAACGTAACAATAGTGCTGATAGATCAGCTCAAAATTACCCTGGAGTGGGGAAGAAGAAATCCCATTCCAAGAGGTTCAGACACAAAACAGAAATGTATAAAGTTGAGGACACCATCAAACAATTCCAGGACACCTGAAGGCTGGCCCAGTGGCACCCGCAAAGAGAGGGGAGGTTAAAACAAGTCAAGATGGAGCCCACCACTGCACGTCCAAAGACCTTTCCTTCTTTTTACGTGAGTGTCACAATGCAGGCACCCCTGGGCTATCACATCTGGGTTATCACATCTGGGCTGCTAAATCCACACAACCACTAGATGGCAGCAAAGAGATACAGAAAGCCTTCTTTGTTGCCATCTTGTGTTCTGCCATCTGGCTTTTTCAGACTAGATCACTGTTTCTCAACCTCAGGAACTTTAAGATGGGTGGACTTCAACCCCCAGGATTCCCCAGCCAGCATGCTGGCT